TGCTGTTCTTTTCTACTTTGGCATTCTTGGTGGCCCCTAGATCTGCTCAGGTCCCTTCCATTAGCCTTCTGCACCCATCCCCCAACTTCGGAGTTGTGTATGGACCAGGCCTTTTTATTTTCTGTATTCTTGGTGCTTCCATGTCTGCAGTCTAGCTGACTGTGGGGGGGCTGCCCCTCCCAGGGCTAGCCAACTCCTGCAGACAATGGAGGGCTCCCTCGAGGCCATGCCTTTCACATGAAAACCATCCAGGGCCCTCTCCTGGCACAAATAAAGCACAGCACTATGAAGCTATCTATAGCCAGCCACTGCCTCAAGAGTTCAATCCCCCACCAGGTAGCTGACCCACAGGGCCTCCCCCCTATATCTCTGGCCTATACCCCAGTTCTTAGATGCATAAATAAATAAATTTATCAAAGAAAACCATCCAATCCAGAGGTCCCCACCTCTTCCTCGGTGGAGCTTACACTCTGGGCACTATTTCTCAGTCTCGTCACCCAGTGCCCAGGCCTCAGATGACTAGGAACAGCTCCCAGTCTTGGAAGCAGCTGAAATTACTCAAACCAGCTGAGCCACCTCCTCCATTCAGTAGACTCCAGTGCACAGCTTGGCTCTCCCCTCGTGGCCCGCCCAGGTTGGAGTGCCGGGCCCTCTCTTGGGATCCGTGAGTTTTTGTTTTTTTTTTAAGATTTATTTATTTATGCATCTAGAAATGGGGTACAAGCCAGAGGTGCAGGGGCGGTGAGAGGATTCACTAGAGACAAGAGTGGAGCGCAGAACAGACAGATCGACTGCTGAGGGGAGCAGCGAGCGGGTCAGGAGTGGTCTGCAGCGCCCTGTGGTCACTTCTGGGCTGGGGACTGAACTCGCACTGAAGCGGCTGCAGCCAGCTGGCAGTGCTGCGTCCTAGCCCGCTGAGCCACGAGGGAGGGCCATCAGTGAGTTTTCTTTTTTAATAATATAATAGTTTATTTTTACATCATTTTGTGAATTTTTCCATCTCAGTTGTAATCCCCGTGGGCTTCCCATCACCAAATCACCCGTGTGCCATCTTGGTGAGTAATTCTAACGGCAATTGTCTCCTAATCTGTTGGCCCCGCATACCTGAATTATAAGGAAACCTCCATTTTATAAAACACTTTGCTATTAACAACTTGATCTTGTGACCTTCTCCCCAGGGCTGGCTGCGGCTCAAAGTGCCTGGGAGGTCATGGTCACCCCCTCTGTGGCTCTGGGGCCACGACTGACTGGAGGGTGTAGTGTCAGGTCTCCACAGCTGGCCCATGACCATGCCCCAGGTACCCACACGCTGGATACCGCCTCCCGGATTTAAAGTAGGCTGGCCTGACTTCATTCACCAGTAGAATGAGGTGAAGTGAGACTGTGCCACTTCTGCCAACCCCTGGAAGTGCTCACTCTGGGGACCCTGAGCTGCCGAAGGAGCCCTGCTGCCCTGTGGGAGAGGCCACGCGAAGGCAGCGAGAACTACGTGGGCCCAGTCAGCCGCATCTACTAGCCGCCCCAACTCAGGGGCCAGACTCACTGGCCCGCGTTGTTCCAAGATGACCTCAGCCCCAACTGACATCACAGGAGCCGATGCCTGCTGAACCCAGACAGCCCAAGAATTGTGGTAGTGGTCATTGTTTTAAGAGTCCAAGTTACGGGAGTTTGTCATTCAGCAAGCATAAGCCAGAGGAGATCCTCCTTCGCCTCCCAGTGGAACTGGCTCCTTCAGGCCCCCACCAGGATGCTGGGGCCTCAGCCAACTTCACACTCCTACCGGTCCTCCTCCTCACTGTCCTGTCCCCTCCACTGCCTTGTTCGTTTCTCCTGGGAGCGTATCTTTTCTTTACTAAATTGTGGGCACAGGAATTTTGTCTCAGCCTTTGCTTCTCAGAAAACACGACCTCAGGGCCCTCTCTGATGGCGCAAGGGGTTAAAGCGCAGCACTATGAAGCTATCTGCTGGCCAGGGAGGTGACCCATATGGCACGACAGACCTCTCCTGTGTCGCCTGATGCTCCCCTCAGCAGTGTCTAAGTAGATTCGTGTTCTGCTTCCCACTCTCTCTGGTGAACCCTCTCACCTCCAGCACCTCTGGCCTTACCCCAGTTCTTGTATGCATAAATAAATAACTCTTTAAAAAAAAAATTTAAAAAACAAAAAAAGTGACCTCAGACCAGAAGCCAGTTGTCTCTCTCCCTATTTTCCCTCCCGACTCTTCTTTGCCCCGCTTCTGAATCCAAAAAAGACAGCCCACTTCCCAGATTCCCAAGCATTAGACAACAGTCAGTGGGGTGGGGGACCAAGGTGAGAACAAAAACATCTGCAAGGACTCTGAAGGAAGCAGCAAGCAGCTTGTTTGCTCAGGTCAGCAGCAAGTGAAACCTCCCTGCCCCCACCTACACAGAATGGAGGGAGTCCCATGGAGATAGGGCAGGGGAAAGCAAGTGGCCTGTCAGCAGCATTTCAGGGGCCAAGTGGGGATGAGGGTTGTCTGACTCTGTGGTGGGAGGGGCTCTAGCCTTCCATCCCTTCCCTCAGGGAGCCTCTTTCCATGACCTCCACACCCACCAGTTCTCAGTCCCTGGAAACCCCAGAAATCCATCACCACGGATCCTCCAGCAGGTCCCACAGCCTGGTGCTACTTGAATCAGATAAGTCAGCAGAGAAGATACTGGGGCCTGGGGGTCCACAGCCCAGAGGGGGACCCCCACTCAGAGCCTCCAGCCAGTCCAAGGAGTCAGTGGGGCCCCTGGGAGAGGGGCAGGGAGAGTTTGAGGGGGAGGGGAACGAGGAGGAGAAGACAGATGAGAGGCCTTCGGAATCCTGTGAGGGAGACAGCACGTCGAAGGAGCCAGGGAAGTCCAGAGGGATGGGGGGCAGTGGGTCTGCAGGGGAAGGAATGCAGTGTGAGCTTAATTAAGAAGGCAGGGATCCGAACCCCGACCCCCATTCTTCATTTCCAGGAGGTCAGGACCATACCCCACTCCTGGTTAGGGGCGTGAAGTCAAAACCCTCCCCCCCACCCCCCAGCCCCTTCCGCCCAGGGGTACTTTCCCCAAAATCTAGGAGCGCCCAGGGGTACTTTCCCCAAAATCTAGGAGCTCGTCTCATACCGTCTGGCTCCACCTGATCCTCCAGGATGTCATCGATGCTCCGGTTCGGGAGCAACTAAGGAAGGACGAGTAGGGCGGGGTGAACCTGGGGCGCGCGGGCCAGGACTCCTTCCGGAGCTGTTAACCCGGGCGCGCGCTCCCCCTCACCTGCGCCCTGCGGATGGCCTCCTGCAGCTCCTCCTCCAGAGTCAGGGCCACTGAGGCCGGTGCTGAGGAAGGAGGCGGCGATGACGCTGGATTCGGAGTCTCAGCTGCAACCCGAACCGGGGCTGACGCTAGGGTTCCCGCGGCGCGTGGAAGAGGTGGCGAGTGCGAAGCTGGACTCGGCTTGAGCTAGAAGCGCGAGGGCCAGTTCCTATAAGCCACGCCCACTGGCGCAGCCCCACCCACCTGCAAGCTGTGGCCCCACCCCCTGGCCGTCCGGTGCGGCCTTTCGCTCGCCGGCCCCGCCTTCGACCCCGCCCCCACACTGTCATTGGCTCCTCTTTCCCTAAGACCGCCCCTCGCCCTAATCCCCGCCCCCTTCTCCGGCTTTCTCCCTTCGACTTCCCACCCGTCCCGCCGTCTTCCTCCTTAGGCCGCGCGCGAGTAGCCCCGCCTCACCGAGCCCTGCCGGCGGGTGGCTCCCAGGGCCTTGGGCCTGAGTCGTGGCCAAGGACCACCCGCGGGACTGTCCTCGCGCCGCGACTTCGGCCGCTCGCGGGGCGGGATACCGCCGCGCATGCGCTCCAGGAGCGTCGACTTGGTCCCCGACACCGGGAGGCCCCGCAAGCGCAGCTGCTGGCGGAGCTCAGAGACCTGGGGTGGGAGGGAGGTGGGGGAGAAGCCGTGCTGGGCAGGCCTCGGGGCGCAGAAGGGGCTGCGGGACTGGACATTTGGAAACCGAGAGAGAGAAGGGCGGAGGGCCCGACCGCTGAGCTCCGATGGGCGGAGGCTGCAGGACTAGACTACTGGATCCCCACCGAGAAAGAGGGGCCGGGCTGGGAGACTGCGCCCCAGACTCACCGTCAGCTCCTCCAGTTTAAGGGTCTGAAGTTCCAACTTGTGTGGTAGGGGCGACGGGTTGGGTACTCCTGGTGGGGAGGGCGCGAGGGGAGTGGGTTTCATCCTGCCGATAGGCAGAGGGGGAGACAGGTTAGTAGGGTCGGAGAAAAGCCATTCTGTCCTCAGACAGGACCTCCAAGACCCAGGAAAGTGAGAGTCCAGAGTTCTGGTCTGCACAGGAGCAAACTGGAAGGCTCGTTCCTGGGCTTAGGAGAGGTGGAGCTGGGGGGCTCGCTCTTGAGTCTGAGACCAGGGCTCATGGGAACTAGAGAAAGAGGGACTGGGGACCTGGAGTCTTGAGTCGCAGGGGTCACAGACTCGAGGTCTGAGGGAAGAGGATGCTGGGGATTTGAACTTTCCATCAAACATAAATGGGGATCATACCTCGGCGGCGGCCGCTGTGACTTTGCCCCTTCCCACACAGGTTGCCCAGGGGGACCCAGGGCTGGTCCTTGGGCCTGGGACTCTGCCCTGGACCCTTGTCTTGTCTCTGGGGGCATGTACTGGTGGTATGTCAAGTTTCCCTTAAGCGTGGGCTCCCTCCAATGCCGGGAGTTCCTGGGAGACTCCTGGAAAAGCAGGAGTGATGTCTTAGCTTCCAGCTCTGTTCCCCTTTGCTGCCCCACGCCTCATGCAAACTCTGGAATCAGCTTGGCACCTCCAGAGAGAAGCAAAAAGGGCAGCAGCAAGGAAGACCCAAGCTAGACTCTCAGGAGGTCTTCCCCTCACTTCAATGGAGACTCACCTTCTTTGGGGACTTCCAGGGGCAGTATTCTGGCTCAGGGAGCAGGCCACCAGGGCTGAAGAGGAAGGCGGCAGGGCCCGAGGGCGAGGCCGGGACTGGGGCAGGGGCCAGAGCTGTGCCTGAGGCTGAGATCCATGGATCTGGATTTGAGGCTGGAGAGGAGCTGAAGGACCCTGAAAGGCCTGCGAGCAGCAAGCCAGGTAGGGGATGTGGGGTGACCAACTTTCTCAGGAAGAAGACCTTGAGGCCCCAGCCCCCAGGGTGTGGGAGGGCAGGCCCAGGCAGAAAACCCAGTCACAGAGCCAAAGGCCAAGACTTCTAGGTGAAGGGCAGATGTGCTAGAGACCCAGACTTTAACATCCTCGAGTGTCTTCAGTCACCAGGGGTGTGGTAGCTAAGGAGCACAGATTTCTGGGGGCTTGGGGGCAGAGATTGAAACTTGGTGGTTGTTGGCGAGAAAGAAGCTGATGGTGAGAAAGAAGCTGCTAGCCACATCCTGAGATTGTAAAGACGGGGACGGCTAACTCCAAAGAGCTAGCTTCATACATTTCACATCTTACATTTCAGTACGAGAAAGTGAGGGAGGAAAAGGCAGAAGGTGGGATCTGGCTGGGACTTGTATTCCTGGGGCCTCTGGAAAGGGCAGATGGGATAGGATTTCAATGTATAGCAGCGCCTGGGGATTGAGCCTGGGAACAGAGCTATCTGGCAGCTCTCCAGGGAGCCCCGGGGGCGGGGGGCCTCCGTCCCCTCCCTGACTGGGCCCGTACTTACTAGGGTCCTGATACCTTCTGTGGATCCGAAGCTGGAGGACTGTGGAGGGATGAGAGAAGTGGGAGGAGAAGGCGGGAAGGGAGTGTCCAGGAGTCTGGCCTGGCAGGCGTGGTGAGCCGCAGTTGTTGGCCAGACACATGTGCCCAGCCCCCTTACACACCCAGAGCAGGCAGCGGGCAGGCAGCCCGCTCCCTTTCCCCGGCCTCCCGACTGCTCCCTGCCAGCACTACGCAGGGCCAGAGATGTTCTGGGACTAGGAGCCAGCCAGCGTGCAGGCAGCCCTGCCCCCAGCACCACCTGCCCCCTCACCAGCCTGAGCCCACCCCACTCTGCACAGCCGCCATCTTGGCAGCCTGGCCCATTTAAATGTTGCCTCTCTTTATCTGTGCACCCCGCTCAGTACCCACTCACTCTGTGCGACCTCTGGGCGTCCGATAGTCATTACCTCCTGCACACCCCCCTTCCACCTGCAAGTCTCTCACCCTAGTTTTGCCCGTGTGCTACCTTCATACACTTGTGCCCTCCACAGTGTTCATGCTTGGCTCACTCCGCCTTGCCACCCACCCTGCCACACGCACACGCTCGTTTGCACACTCAGGAGCAAGGCTGTCTGCATGTACTTGCGCTCCTTGAATGCTCTGCACACTCTTTGCTCCTGGGTGAGCCCAACCATGTAAGCACACCCATTACACACTCAAGGATCCCCTGCTTCCTCAAAAACTGACCTCCATTTCTACCTGATGGTATACTTTTTTTTTTTTAATTATTATTATTAACCTGCACTGCGAGCTAAAATCAAACTTCGAATGCTTGAAAGGCTTTGTGGTCCCCTCATGCACACCCCCATGCTGCTCAGTGTCAAGTTCCTGCTCTGGGTGCTTCTCCACTCTGCACAGCTGCCCATTTAAACCCCTGTTCCTCTGCAGCATCTGAACCTCTACACACCTGCTTCTCACCACCCACTCCTCCAGGCCATTTGCACGCGCAACTCTGACCCCTTTGCTGGGGCCACCTTTATGCACCAGTGACCTTTTGCCTAGAAACACAGGCCTCCCACAGCCACCATACCCCTCCAAGAATGCTCTGCAAATTCGACTATCCCCAGAACCCCAAGTATCCCTTCCCTACATGCAGAGAAGTCTCTCACCAGATCGGAATTTGGAGCGAATGATTTGGGAGCGCTGGGAGGAAGCCGCCAGGGTCATTGCCAAGGCTGGAATGGGGACCTGGACTGGGAGAGGGGAGGGTCCCAATGGGAAGCAAGGTCAGAATGGAGGTCAGGAGGTTGCCCCTTCTTGCAAAAGCAGCAGGGAAAAGGCCTGAGGGCATTAGCGGTAGGAGAGGTCTTGGGAGCTAACCTGCCTTCTGGGGAAGGAGGGGTCTGGGGGGGGTCCCAGACTCCTGGGTTATAGAGAGAGAACAGAGGCTAGAGACCCCGACTCCTGGGCCTGAGGGAGGAGGGGCTCAGGGCCCTCTGGGTTGTAAGGAGGCCCAGACCCAGGAAGGGGCAGAGGAGATGGCGGTGACAGGCCAGAAAGCAATCCTTCCAGAGTACTAAATTCCTGCATCCTTGATCGTGGGAGTTGACAGATCCCTGGAAAATGCAGGGTCTCTGCCTCCTTCACTAGAGAAGAGAGTGGATGAGGTGTCAGCAAAGAGGTTCAAGGGGAAGGAAGCGGGACCAGAGAGGTGATGGAATCGTTAGGGCGGATCTCCCCTTCCCCTCTCGCCCTGGGGCTCTCACCTGGTGGGTCTGCGCAGCGGTTCTCTGGGCGGATCGAGTCCAGAGGTCTAGGCTGGAGGTCGTAGGCTCCGCCCTACTCGCCTGGGACCGCCTCGGACCCCCCTTTCTAGGGCGTTCTGGGAGCCCGGGGAGCGGGGCGGGGGAGCCGGGAGCCCCGCCTGGGACCCTGAGAAGGGGCGGGAGCAGCGTCTGGGAGGGCCTGGGGCGGGGCGGGCATCGGGGTTCCCTTGCTGGCTCCTCCGGCGCCCGCCCAGGGCCGCGGGAACCGGCTGTAGCTGCGGGCGGACTGACAGCAGCAGGTGCGGGAGAGGGACGCGGGTGAGCAGCAGCGGCAGGTGATCGTGTCCCGGCCCCGCACGCAGGTGCCACCTGTCGCTTACTTTTTCCCTGACGCAGCAACAGGAGTCAGATTCGGGGAACTGAAAAGTTCTTACTGGAGCCCGGATTTCTGGGGGAGGAGAGAACTGGGAACCTAGATCCCTGGTTTTGAAGGGACAGAAGCTCGGACTCCTGGCTTTGAAGGAGGAGGGGCTTGAGGCCCCACTTCTAGTGTGCGGGAGGAGGGATGCTGGGGACAAGGATAAAAGGTATTGGGGTGCATTACTGTGCTGGATAGACCCCTGAGCCTGAGGGAGGAGGGGGCTGGAGAATAGACTTTTGGGGTCAAAAGGAGAGTTGGCTGGCACCCACCAGCTGGCCTGAGGACCTGATCACCAGCAGAGCAAGCTTATTGCTCTGACCTGGAGGCGTGAGGTGGCCCAGTGCTCCTGGGTTGGGTTACAGGCAAGAGGACACGATGAGGCCATGGCTATAAATACCAACGTGGACTCAGCAAGAGTCCAGAGCTCTAGGCAAGGGCCCTGCTGATATATTACACAGAAATCATATCACTAACACTCTGGAGTCTTAAAAAATGAGGTGTCGTCAATACCACATATACCTTTATTGCTCCTGTCGCTCAAATCCCAGGCCCCTCTACCCATCCCATCCTCCGCCACCCGAAAACTCAAACTCCCAGCAGTCCGCGCGGGGAGAGAACTACAACTCCCGGAAAACTCTGCGCCCTGGCGCGCTCCAGTGAGTAAAGTCGAATTTTCAAGGCTCGCGCGCTCGTTTGTAATTGGCTATCAAGGAGGCGTGGCCGCGGGAGGTCCGTGACGGTGATTGGCCGGAAGTTCCTGCTGCTCAAGATCCCAGAGGAGGCGGCGGAGCCTGCGCAGTTCACGGTGCAGGGCGTCGTCCGTCACCGGGCCCGTAAGGCGCAGGCGCGAGCTGCCCAAGGGCAGGATGAGGGGAGGGTGAGAAGAGAAATTTTCGAAGATATCCCCTGTGAGACCGAAAAAGACTGAATTAAATTCTGAAAATGAGCGTGAGGCGGCAGTGTCGGGGAGAAGCCGAGGAGGCATCATCCCCAAAAAGAGAAAACGTCCACCCTAAACTCCTGGCGAGGCGCCCCCAAAGCGTCGTGGGAACCTGAAGGGCGACGGGCCACTGGTGCCTGGGAAACAGGGTATGTCGTTGGGTTCTCGCTTGCATTAGGGAGAAATGGGAGGCAGCAGAGGAAGGTGAGAAAGGCGAGTTTATGACAGGAGGAGACGGGCACTTGAACCCTTGGCGGGGGAGGGGAAGTGGTAGCATGCAGCCCCGGATCCTGGGGTGGATGGGGGCTGGCGCACGTGGGCCCTGGGGCGGACAGGGCTAGGCGTCCAGCTCAGAAGGGAGGGCCTGCGGGTCTCGATGGCTAGGTTGCGAGGACAGAAGAGCGCAGACGGCCCCAGGCCTGCGCCCCCACTTCTCCGCACCTGTGTCCACCGCATCTCGCTCCGCCGGAGGAGGGTCCCAGGCAGGTGGCGGCCCACGACCAGGACCCAGCTGGTAGTGGCTGAGCAGGTGGTGGAGCTGCGCAGGGGTCAGTGTGGGGTGATCAGTTCGTAAGCTGCTCCATGAAGCCTGGTGGCGAGAGAGGCGGCAAGCCCAGGTGGTTATGGGGCAGCGGAGAATCCTGCACGCGAGGCCCTCCAGCAAGGGAGTGGCTCTGGTGGCGGACAGCGTCTGCAGTGCCTTTTGGACTTTGGGGGGCCTGGTTGTCACCAAAGTGATGGTGAGACAGGGCTTGCCCTCAACTCTAAGAAATATATATTTGCTTCAGAACGAGTGAAAATAGAAGAGGCGGCAGAGAAAAACAGGCCACTCCTTTATATTGTTGAAGCTGTTGTGATGTGTCCATAGGGTCACATCTTTTTTGAAATTTTCTACACTGAATCTAGCTGATCTCAGGGATCATCCGTGAGGCTTAAAGTCACTCTCTGGACCCAGATTGCCAACTTTCAGAAACCCTGGCTTGATCCTTACTGCCTCTGGTTATTGCGCCCCAAGTTCCTCATCTGTTAATTGGCGGGGCCGGGGGGCATAGAAACTACCCACTAGAGTTGTTATGTAGGTTCTAGTGGGTTGTTGGCAAAGTCACGACTCATTTTTGCTTGAGAAACAGAGAACAGCCCAATATATGGCGAGATTGCGTAGCTCTCAGAACACTGCCTGGTGCTTATTAATGCAGTGCAGATGTTTGATAAGTAAAAATAAATGAAGTTGTGACCTGATTCTTGGCTTCCTGATCTCAAAAAAATCTCCGTCATCAACCTCATCAGGCTTTGTTGACATTCACTGTATCTGGCGTATAGTTTGTGTTCAATGAGCATGTTAACTATCGCTTTCTTGGATCTCATACCAAACATCCTAAGTCAACATAGCACATCAAGATTCGGATGGAGCCAGCTGCATCTGTCCAACAACAGTGGACACTATCATTGCTGGCTCTCTTGTAGCTGGTGTGTGAGCTGGGACTGGGGATACCGGGGAGTCCAAGGGGGGTTACACAGAAAGCTGAATACAGATGATGGGCTGAGTGGTGGGGAGCCAGGGGTCAGGAATCACCTTGAGCAGGGAGGTACGGGGCACACAGAGCAGGTTCACAGCCATAGAGAGTTTCCTGAAGAACTCCGTGGCAATGTCACCCAGCCCAGCCCCCTGCAGCCAGTCCAAGACAAGGTCCAGGTTGGTTCGGATTTGGACAGCTCGGGACCACTGATAGAAAGGTCGGCCTTGACCTGTGGGGGAATAGTAGGAGGTGTAGCAGGTATGTGGGTCTTGCCTCCCGGGCCCCTTCTATCCTTGGGCTTGGGCTCCAGAGCCTATTTGATTTGATGTGGGTCTCAGTGGCACCTGCCTCTGCCTCCTTTCCCGTCCCCAACAAACCCTCACCTCGTTCCATCAGAGAGTTGAGAAGAGACGCATTGGAGAAGAAGAACAAGTAGCCGAAAGTCTGAGACACGAGGTCTGGGTGCAGCTCACACTGACTGGTCAGCTCGAGGGCTGCCTGGAACACGCCCAACGTAGGTCGCAGTCCTGGAGGCATGGCCGTCAGCTCTGCGCCAGGCCCAGGCAGCTCTGCCCCAGCTGTGAAAGGGTTACTGTCCAGCAGAGCAGGCAGTGTTGAATACAGAGTCTGAGAAGACAGAGCAAACCAGTGATCAGACTGTGATTTCCAGAAAGCTGCAGGGTGATAGGACATAAGATAATGGGAGCTACGCCAAAGCCTTTTGGGAGTTGTAGTCCATTCCACTTTCAAAGCCCTACTGGTCTCCATTTGTACACGTCTACTTTCCGGATGGGTTTCTAGCATTCACCAAGCTCGGCCTTTCTGGAAATATCTCAGGTATGTGAAGACCCCTTCTGGTGCCTTACAGGACTGGTAGTTCTCCACAGCTTAAGGAAGATGGAATACAGAACAAAGAGCAAAGAGAAACCCTTCCATCAAAGATTTACCCAGAATTCCCGAAGGGAAGAAAAGAATAGAGGGTCAGGAAGTAGGAGTGGTGTGGCACTTAGCCAGTGGAAAGTGAGATCAGGCCAAGGGCAGGAAATGAGGTCAGAGCCAGAAATGAAGTAAAACCACAATTGGCAGGGATGTACAGGAAGTGAAGCCTTGGAGACAAGGGCTTCACGAATCAGTGCTGCTCCAGGAACACAGAGCCCACCTGGTTTTACAGACAGGGAATTGGGCCTACCACCAGCCAGACACTCTGAGAATTCCAAGAAGCAATATTGAAATCAAGGGAGGTATTGGGGCAGAAAGCAGGTCCTATAGGACAGACACTCCAGGGAGAAAAAGACTGTGGCTTAGAAAAGGAAGTAAACTCAAAGCTGTGGGAAGTGAGGTCAGGAAACAGAGGAAGTGAAGCCTTGATTAACAAGGCCCTTTCATTTAAATGACAGCCGCGGCTGTCAGAGCAAGCACTACTTGCTATCTGTATATGTGTGAGTGTGTGTGTAAATGCACTTCTGTGTATGCAACTTATCAGGGACAGAAGAGTGAACTTAGAAAAGTGGAGCTTGATAATGGTGGTGACATCACCTGGTCATGAGAGGACAGTTTCAGAGATAGGAAAAGATGCCAGAAAGGGAGGAAGTGACACAAACTGAAACAGGAAGTGGTGTCAGAATAGCAAAATACCAGGGTGAAATGGGAAGTGACATCAGAGAGCAGGTAATATTGTGAGGTCAAAATAGGGCGTGACTTCAGAGCAAGGTGATGTAGTTAAAACAGGAAGTGATGTCCTATCAAAAAGGAAACAAGGAGCAAGGCTGACCTTGGTGAGGTAGTACACGGACTGCTGGAACGTACACATGATGACCTCATCCAGGAGGGCCATGGCCTCATCACATAATTCCAAGTCATTGCAGAGCTGTAGGTCTGAGGACAGGCCTGGGGGTGAGAGAGAGCCAACGGCTGGCAGGCAGGAGCCCAGGTCCCCAGATGTAGGGAATGGTACAGGGCTTGGACAGTCTTGGACTTGGGTCAGAGCTCACCCTCCTGGTCGGCCTCCTTTTCCATCTCTAGCACCTTCTCTTGCACAAAACTGAGCAGCTCTGTGGTATTGGCCATCCACAGCATGAGTGGCCGAAGCTCCACAGACACAGCCTCAGGGGTCAAGGGCACCTCAGGGACCCCCTCAGGGTGGCTGGGAAAGGAAAGAGGGACTTTAATTCCTGCCCAAAGCCCACCCAGTATCCACATCTGAGGTCTGGTTCTAATTGGAGGCCCAGTCCCACCCCACTTTACAGTTGGGTCCAAAGGATGAGCAGAAGCTTAGGCCAAGACATGCAGGAGAGAAGGCAGGACTGACCATAAATTCCAGCCCCTGCATTCCTGTAGCCCTTTCTCCCCAGTATTTCTCTTACTTCTCTGGCTGACGGTCTCCAATCTCCTTAATCTTTTCCTGTGGAACAATAAGGTGAAAATCAACATAAGGGTGTGGGGGAGAGAAGCCTATGATTTAACTCCCTGTATTTTTCTAGAAGCAACTTTTTAACCGAAAACCCCTCCCTGCTTTTTGAATGAAATCTAATCCTCAGGCTCCCGAAGGGTCTTCTCTTCTTTCTTCTAAAAACATAACACCCTATCATTAAGTGGCAGGTCTGCTTCTGCTTAAATATTTTTCTTCTTGCCCCTGAGAAAATCCCTAAATCTTTCTAAGTGGGTCTTTCATAGCCGGGCACCTCTTCCCTCCTCTCTGAATGGGTTCTCCCTGGCATTTCTGTCGGTAGGCCTGTAGGGCTTGTTCTCCCTGCTCTGCAAGAATGCTCTCACCCACTATGCTCCCATCTCTAGGCCCAGTGGGCCGTCACATGTCTCATCCACTGCAACCCCCCCCCATCTCCTTGAATGGTTTTTTTCTGTGACCCCACAGCTGCAAAGCCCAGTGGAAAAGTCCACTATTCCCAGCACGCCTTGGCCCCACCCCCCAATCATGGGAGACAGTTTCCTCGCATGAGCTACCGAACTGGGGCTGAAGGTGGCCAAGCTGAGCTGAGGGCGCGGCTGAGTCAGGTGGGGCTGGCGGGGCTTTGCTCCTCACCCAGACCACTTCTTTGATGAGTCGGGCCAGGCTGCCCAGCAGGCGCGGCAGGTGGCCCAGTTCCAGTTCCCGGGCCGAGTGCTGCACACACAGCGCTAGCAGCGTGGCTGGCCCGAGCGGAGGCAGGTCCCCGGCGCCAGAAGCCGCGGTGCGCACGATCTCGCCCAGCAACGCCTCTTCTTCGCGCGGCCGGAAGCGCAGCACAGGCTCGCGGCCATCCAGGTAGGCGGCCAGCGCCTCGCCACGCTCCTGCAGGCCACGGCCACACAGGCGACAAGAGAAGGCCCAGCCGGGGCCTGGTGGCGTGGCCCCAGGGCGCGCGGGCAACCACGGTGGCCGAACTGGCCCGGAGCCTCCATTGCGGGGGTCCTTGTACATGAACAGGAAGTGCTCGCCCAGCCCCAGGAGGTCGCCCGGGTGCAGCTCGGCCTCCCGCAGCAGGAGGCACCCATTGTGCGTGACCGGGGCTCCCCGGGACGGGCGCACCATGGCGGGGGGCTCAGGGCCGGCACGCACGGTGCAGTGACGTGGTAGGATGTCCGGGGCATTGAGAAAGGTGTCCACGTATGGGGCGGGGGACCCACCACGGGCCGAAGAGTTCCCTCCGCGGCCAAACACGTGCTGCTCGCGCGTCATCACATACACCACGAAGTCCTGGACAGAAACGTGAAGACCACTAAATGCTCCAGAACTTCCCAAGAGAGCTCATTCCCACAGTCGACTCCCCCATCAGCCCTTGAGTGAACATGTCCAACAAAAACTGCTGGGATGCCAAAGGAGTCTCCCAGCTGCATGCCCCTGGCACACTGGCCTCTTCGGTGGCACTCCCCAAAGTACACTGTCCTGTAACACTACCCTGAAGACTGGTTACTGGCAAGAAAACCTCTTCTTTAGCAGGGCCTCTCTGGGGCTTCCTCCCTCAAAGTACAGATGCTTCCCAGGAGCTCATTCTCTTATGCGCTGTCCCATGATCTTGCCTCTGAACAAACCCTTTCAAGACAGTCTCTTCCAACAGTGAGCTTCCATAGTCCCACTCCAAGAATTGGTACTTCGAGGTCACCCCACTTACATTACCAAAATGGACTGCTCCAAGGAATGGACCATACACTCAAAGAGTGGACCTCTCCCAGAAAAGCTTCCTTCAAGGAACTCTCTCATCCCCCTACCCCTGGTGCCACTAGCCCATTTTTTCACCCCATCCCCACAGAGGTTTCCCAAGGCATTTACCCTTTCAAAAATAATGTCTCTTAATAGTCCCAAAGCAAGGCATCAGTACCTTTAAAGTTGAGGGCCTGCCTGGTGGCTCACTGGTTAAAGACACAGCACTATCAAGCTATCGCCAGCCCCCACAACATGAGTTCTATCCCCGGTCAGGGAGTGACCCACAGGGCGCAGCAGACCTCTCCTGTCTCCCCGTTGCTTGCCTCAGCAGTGTGTTTCAATCTACCTGTTCTGCTCCCCATTCTGTTTCTGGTGAACCCTCTCACCCCAGCATCTCTGGCCTACACCCCAGTTCTTGTATGCATAAATAAATAAATAAGAAAATCCCCCTTTGAACTAAGATTACTCCTACTCTTTCTACCCATGTTGAATTCACTGATAAGGAGACAGTCCTACAGTGGACTAAGCTATGGCCTCTGCTCCCGTGATGGAGGATTCTAAAGACACCCTCCCTTCCTTCAATGATCCCCTTTATTCCCATCCCCCAAGAGAATACCTCCAAGGAGATGTCAGTATAGTGAGTTCTTCTAGTAACCCCATATAAATAGATGTTTTCAAGGAGACCTTTTCCTATATTGGGGTGTCCCGTTTCATAGAAGAAATGAAGAGATACATCCCAGAAAATCCCTTCTGAAAATGGACTCTCACTTCTCCGTTCTATAAAGTGGAAGGCTCCTTCTGAGCCCATTTCTAAAACAGAGCCTCTGAGGAAATAGTTGTCCAAATATACTTACATTCCCTTGCTATACTGAATTCTCCCCATGTCTTTACCCTACAAATGGACATGTCCAAAGAGGTCCTTTCCTTCAGCGGAGATTCATCTCCTCTAGGAAAATGGACCATTCTAGTCTGACAACCTTCTGAAGGTAGCACCCCCACTTTAATGAGCTGTTAGGTAACATACAGCCATGAACAGATGAGAGCAAATAATTTCCTCCCTACAATAGATTCACCTCATACTTCTGTTCCAAGAAATGGAATGTCTAGTGAAGCCTGTTTTTTTTTTTTTAATATATATAGGTATTTATGCATACAAGAACTAGGGTGTAGGCTGGGGATAAAGGGGGTAAAAAGATTCACCTGAGACAGAGTGGGGAGCAGAACAGGTGGATCTACTGAAATACACTGCTGAGGGGAGCAGCAGGCAAGAAAGGAATGGTTTGCTGCACCCCGTGGATCAGCTACCTGGCTGGGATCAAACTCAGGCCACAGTGGCCTTGATAGTGCTGAGACTTTAATAACCCCTGAGCCACTAGGAAGGGCCATGAAGCTTGTTTCTAAGAAAGGAATTTCTCATGAACCCCACCTGAAAGAATGGGTGTTTCTAATGTTTCCCCCTCTTCCCACAAGACTGCACTTCCAGAATAGATCCTTCCAATTTGACTACCTTCCCAATATAGAACCTTCCACTCTCTCCAACATTGTCCAAAGGAATGGGCTGCTATAATAAATGCAGACCCCTTTTCACAATGAATGTGCTCTGTCCCCAGGCCTCAAGAAAACACAGGCTTACCCAGAACAGGATCCTAAGTTTCCATCCAAAATCCCCCAGAAGCTAGACTGTTCCATTACTCCCCATCAAGACATGGACCCTGCAAGGAGGTCACTTCACTACAATGGGGCTCCCATTTTCCTTGAGGAACACTGTGCTTCTCCCAACTTTGAATGAAATGAACCATCCCTTACTTGACCTACCACTGGTGTCTTCTGCTGACATCTGTCCTCCACCTCCCCTCATCTCTGACAATGGTATCCCCCACTCAGGAACCTTGCTGAGATCACACCTTCCAGCAGACCTGAGACCACCGTGACCCAAAGACTTCTAGAAGTTACCTTTTTTGTCACCCTCAAACCACGGTGGGGCATAGGCCTTGCAGAAGAGGCTGTACTTACCTGGGCGTCTTGGTAGCCCTGAAGAAGCAGGAAGTAGGGCCGGTTGTTAGGAGCCTGGATCAGGCACTGGGTCAACTGATCGAAGTCTCCGGGGTCTACAGATCCCATTTGGGCGTCAGCTGCCCCTGGGGCCATGCTCAGTGCCTGCTGCCTGCGCTCCTGCTGCCGCCGCCTCCGACCCTGCAAGCTGAGCTCTGACACGCTGCGCCGTAAGGACAAGTTTTCTGAGCGCTCCTTGCCTCCGGACCCAGCTGAGGGCCCAGAGGACCCGGGGCCGGGACTGGCCAGCGCGGCCCCACCAGATGCAGCCCGGGAGCGGTTCTTCTGGGGCCGCCAAGAGGGGGCGCCCGTGCCTGCGGAGAGAGAAGGAGCTCGATAACGCGGAGGGGAAGCCTGGAGAAAGACTTGGCGAGGATTTGAGACCCCTACAGGGAAATGAGGCTGCTTTGTGAGCACCGGCTCTGGCAAGGGCCGTTCCCACGCCTGGAACACGCTTCCTGCCTGACTCCTGCCCATCTGCCGTCTTCAACTCAGAAATTAATTCATTTCTTTCAACTAGTATTTTTTTGAGCGCCTTCCACGTGCCAGGTAATATTTTAGGCACCGGATATTTCACAGTGAACAGAGAAGACCTGTGCTTCTGAATACTCTTCCCTGAGGTTTCAAGTTGAATGACACTCTGGACCCAGCACAGCCCTGGCACATAGCAGGTGCCTGTGGAAATTAGATGAATGAATGCTGTTTCTTACTAGATTCACTTGTTAATGTCCGTGCTGTATTGCCCAAGGATCCTAAATAATGTGAATGCTGGGGAAAGGGGGTGATAGACAATGATGGCTATAATGGCTATTCTTTATTGAGCACCTACTTTCTGCCAAGCCTTATGCTACCATCTTTCATATACATAGGGGTGCCTGTGCCTGCAGGGGAAGGGGAGACCCAGTCACATACAATGGGCACCTCCTGCTTGGGGAGGTCAAGCTGCACTTAACTTCCCCTAGGGTTTTGCTGAGTTTAACTGGCTCAGAATGGATCGGAATCCAAGCCTGAGTTCAGAACCCAGGAGCTTACCTACCACACTACAGATCTCCCGAAGGGTGGCTCAGGACCAGGAAACCAGCCGGCGGCCCCTGCCAGGCTTCTCTGCACCTGCCCTTTCACCCGTGGAACCACCTTCTGTTCCAGGCCAGGGGCTCTCAAAAAGCCAGGCCCCTGCAGTTTCTACCTCTTTCTGGCCCTCCCTGGTGGTACAACAGGTTAATGCACAGCACTATGCAGCTGTCCGCAGCCACTGCAGCGCGAGTTCAATCCCCAGCCTGGGAGCTGACCCACAGGGCACAGCAGACCTCTCCTGTCTCCCCGCTGCTCCCCTCAGCAGTATGTTTCAGTCAATCTGCCTGTGCTGCTCCCCAGTCTCTCTGGTGAACCCTCTCACCACCAGCACCTCTGGCCTGTACCCCAGTTCTTATATGCATAAATAAATAAATCTTTAAAAAGGAAAAATCAGATACCTCTTTCTTGCCCATGCGCTACGCTCAAGCTTCCACAAACACTTCATGGCCAAAACAGCATCACGCTACCTGTTCCTTTTTAGGTCCCGATCTAAGAGGTTCCGAGCTCTGTTTCACTTGTAGGCGCCTTTCACATAGGCTCTGCCCTCATGAACCACTTCACCTTACTGCTCTGAGAATCTGTCTGCCTTAGGGACGCTTGCCACCATCCAATAGCCCTTGCTCTGGGCTTCTCCATTCCTCGAGCCATGCCCGGCATCACAGGCCCCACCCATCGTGTCCCTCGGGCCCTCCCTCCATCCAGTTTTGGGGTTCTTAAACCCGCCCTGGCTCCGCCCCAGCCCCAGCCCAACCCTCGCG